ATATATATATATATATATATGAGATGTTAATTGATCATTTTAATTTGTTTTGTCTTTCTTGGAATAAGTGAAAGCTTTTTTTCCCTTTTCCGCGCTGTTGGAATCCATACCTACACAACATACTTTATCTAAGGGATGTCTTATTGTGAACGTTCTTAGAGGAGCATCCTCCGGACATCTTTAAAACTTCCTTGGAGGTCTATAATGCTATACGGGTATCACACGCTGCGATCTCTCTTTCTCGCTTTCCAGGTAGAACAGAGTCATAATTAAGTCATAATGGGTGCTTTTCATTTAGTGACACAATGTCTATCTTACTCTCTGAGTGTCAAGAAAGATAGAATGTCAACTAAATAGAAAGCACCCATTATGACCCAGTCTATAAGGAACACAGTAAAGAGAAAGTCAAAACGATTTATTTTGATGTCATGGAAATCAAACTGATGATTTTTGGTTACAAAATTTAACCGACTATTGATATTTATAAGAATGAAAATAAAGTCGCATTTTGATTGTTAACATCAATAAATAATAAACAGTTAAATTTTGTAAACAAAAATCATTATTTTGATTTTCTTGACGTCAAAATAATAAAATCATTTTGACTTTTTCTTTACTTGATAATCTTCCTTGGATAAAAGTAAATTTATAAGTGACAATAAGGAGATTAATGATAAGAGAAAGGGAGGGAGAGAGGGGGGGGGGGAGAGAGAGAGAGAGAGATGTCTGTGATATATGCTATTATACTAGTATAACTTCCATGCTCTACTTTAACTAATCATCTCGATATGTCGAATCCCTATAATTGATTAATTAACGCTATTAATCTCGGCGGATCATTCATCTCCCAATCTCGATGACAATTCCGGATTCAATTCGGTCGCAACTCATTAATGTCAGTCCTCGATTCCACGCGCTCAACCTACGCCGCGCATTCTTATCATGGCACTGTTGCTTCGTGCTCTTATCGCGCAATTGAATTCGATTATACTCGTTGATTCTGGAGTATCTCCGACGAGTTCCGACGGCGGTTTGAGATACCGAGCCCGACCCCGGAAAACAATAGCGACTGGTGGCGACGTTCAGCCACGTGTTGGCTCGGGTCAAAAGTTCATGTTCCCGAGCTCTCGCATAGCGACACAACACTCGGTGCGTCTCGCATTTCGCGCGTTTCGAAATACATTATACATATATAAATTTCGGATCCGCGTCAATCCCCACCCAGGTCGCTCGAGAGCGGAAGAAAAAAGGAAGAGAGAGATCGATACGCATCAGTCGAGAGATGCCACCTCGAAGCACTTGTGCGTAAAAAGCGCGCGCGCGGAAGCACGCCCGAATTCGCGAGAGAGAGAAAACGCCCGATCGATTCCGGCGATGGGCGACTTTTCTCGCGCGTTCGCACGCGCGCTCGCGCGGAGGCAAGCCGGGAGCTTTTTAGCCTTCCTCCATCGTTCTCGAGAGGGATGGCACGAGACGCGGCTCGAGAGTCTCTTTCGTATCTCTCTCTTCGCGACGCCGCGATGGAGGATATAAATTAATGAGGAGATGACCAAATGAATTGTTGTTCCTAAGCGGAACAACAAATCATGAAACGTGATTAATGAAAAAGTCGCTTTTAATGATCATTTTCACTCGTTCT